GTTCTGTCTGGCACAATTTTTGTTGTGGATCCAGCAAGTGCTGAAACCGATGTTGAGACGCTGATGAATGCATCCCAAAAATTCCAGTAAGTCTTTTTTCATCACATTAATTAATAATATGAGAAATTAGAACAATTTCACAGGATGTCTGAATGAAACTGTTGTCCAACAGACAGTACTTCAGAATGAGGTTGAATCGCCTAGGAAAAGAACAACTGGTCAATATTCATTGGAAAATTGCCCAAATAGAGCATACAGTTCAACAAGATGTAACCAGCTGTGGAGTGTTTGTCCTACAGGTATTTTTAAAGATCTACTACTAGTACAATACATATGATACAAGGCCATAACTATGTTATTGGGGGCCCAGTGTAAATTTTTTTAATGAAAATGCATTTTATTTAATACAATTAATTTTACTTTTTTCAATTATACCAAAATTATGAAGCTGAACACAGGCGTGTTTTCAGTACTTTTAATTTAGGCCTACTGTCAGCCCAATTAACAAACTATTACTAGCTTTCTCTCTCTTCTGGGTTTGTCTAACAAAATTAAAGGTAAGCATGTTTATCTGATTTTTTTTTTTTTTATTTACAAAAATTCACCTATTTACAATTACATAGCCTCAAGTAACAAGTAAAATATCAAGTTGCAACTCAATACAAATCAATAAAGTGTAAAGATTAGTCTTCAAAAATGGCACACAGAGCATCATACAGCACCAAATATTTTCCAAAGAAAGCAGATAATCAATACATGTATAGTAATAAAAACCTATTAAAATTCTAGATTGCACCAGGATAAAAAACCATGTAACAAAATTTTGTACTATATCCAATTTTCTTTCTGCTGCTCAAATAGATGCCCATTTTTGGTTGTCCCGCCACAAAATTAAGCATTTGATAAACAGATTTTTTTTAGATGCCTTTTTTTGGTTGCCCCGCCACAAAATTAAGCATTTGATAAACAGATTTTTTTCTTAGAAACATATTTGCTTCCTAAAATTCAATTGCAAAATTTTGCAATTTAAAAAAAACTTCATTGCAATTTTTTAAAAACATCCTTTAAAACAGAAAACAGTAGTTTAAGTCACAGCTTAATAAAGCATGAAAAATGGACTCTCTGTCATCACAAAAAGGACACTTATTGGTACTTCCAGGATTTAAAGAAGTAAAAGCATTAACTGCAATAACACCATGAACAATTCTCCATTGTAAATCTCCTGTCTTTTTGGTCAACAGTGGTTTGGAAAAAATAAATAAATAAAAAGATTTTGAGAGGGCAAGTGAACACAAAAAACATGTTCTGTGTGAACAGCAACTTACCCGTCACAACACTGAGTTTTCGTAAGGTTACCTTGCAGTCTTCTGTTTTAGATTATTGTAAATCCTCCAGAGCTGTTTCTTTGCCTTAAGTGATTTGATATTGTTGAGAGAAAGGGAGAGAGAGAGAGAGAAATAATCAGCAAAGCATATTGGGTATATTCTAAAAATCTTACACACAATTTATCTGATCATATAGGCTACTCACCCTTATGCAATAGATGTGTATGACTTTCTTCATTGAACACAAATGTAGATTTGAAGAATTTTCTCTTTGCCTGTCCAAACAATGCAAATGGGTGAAAACATCCAAAAAAGTTCCAAAAGCGCACAATCAGTTGTTTTTTTCTTTTCTTTTTTGAAGATGGCAAAGGAAACGGTGAAGCACTTTCCTGACATTCCACAACATTTCAGTATCAATCCTCCTGGGGATCATATAAGCAACCTGAGAAGACAAATGGCAGAGGAAATACTCCTTGGAACAGGTTTATTGGCCATTAACAAATATACCCTTGTTGCTTAAAGATATATAAATCATTTAAAAAACTTTTTTTTTTTAAGTATTCACTAAGTTTTCATTTCAATATTAGAATCCAAAGAAGAGTTCTGCAGTACCTGCGGCCTGAAAGATCTCCCCAAACCAACAGATGCTGTTGTTATCGATTGGGTAAATATGAACAGGTGCACTCAGTAGTTTGCATAGGCCTGTTGTTACAAATTTATGTAGTTGCACAAAGTAATTTCACTACTGGGCTCTGTAATCTAACATCACCACAGACACACACAGCCTTTGAAGAATCAGAATCAGAATCAGAATGAGCTTTATTGCCAGGTATGTTTACACATACGAGGAATTTGTTTTCGTGACAGAAGCTTCCACAGTGTAACAGAATGACACTGACAGAACAAAAAACACAGATAATAAAAAATAAAAAATAGAACAAGTAAATAAGGAATAAAAATATATAAATGGAGTTGTATGTGCAGGTATATTACAATAGACAGTTTTTGTATGTACAGGTACTGTATATTATGTGCAAATTTGAGGTGTAGACTGAGTATGAGTGTTAGATAAATAAGTGTATGAGTGA